AATCCGGGTCCAAGTTGCCACAACTAAACATGCATTTTATATCAGATATAAGGGGTATTGGCAGTTAAATCTGAAGCAATTACTGGCTTCAGAAAGACACTACAGTCTCCAGAGTAAATGAAGAACTTCAACACAGCCAATGTTTTACTAAAAACAAAATGTTTTTTTTTTTCCAGTTATAGAACAGGCTTATAGTTGTAAACAAGGTGTCAATAATAATTAAGTTTTAGTTAGTTAGAATGTATTGAATTCTGACTTGGTTGAGAGGGTTTGTGTGCGATTGTTCCCTAAAACAACTTTTATATCGACAACGGTGCAGTATTTTCTCGGATAATCGAGAAAATCAGGAAAGCCTTTAACAGGACCGAAGCCGTGTTTGAGGTGGGTGATGTTTCATTTCCATAATACAGAGTGGACAATCCATTCATCCATTTACAATAATTGCTTACACTTACATAGCGCTTTTCTGGACACTCCACTCAAAGCGCTTCACAGGTAATGGGGATCCCCTCCACCAATGCGCAGCCCCACCTGGATGATGCGACGGCAGCCATAGTGCGCCAGAACGCTCACCACACATCAGCTATTAGTGGGGAGGAGAGCAGAGTAATTATGCCAATTCATAGATGAAGATTATTAGGAGGCCATGATTGGTCAGGGCCAATGGGTTACACCCGTACTCTTTTCGAGAAACACCCTGGGATTTTTAATGACCACAGAGCGTCAGGACCTCGGTTTTACATGTCATCCGAGGGACGGTACCCGTTTACAGTCTAGTGTCCCCGTCACTATACTGGGGCATGAGGACCCACACAGACTGCAGGGTGAGCGCCCCCTGCTGTCCCCACTAATGCCTCTTCCAGCAGCAGCCTCAGCTTTCCCAGGAGTTTCCCCTCCAGGTACTGGCCAGGCTCACACCTGCTTAGCTTCAGTGGGGCTGCCAGTTGTGAGTTGCAGGGTGATCTGGCTGCTGGTTATTTACTAAGAGTGGTTATTTACTAACCACATCTTCCAATTCAGGGTCCTGGTGGAGCCCGAGCCTATCCCAGCAAGCAACGGGCGTGAGGCAGGGTACACCTTGGTTGGGATGCCAGGCCATTGCAAGACAGACACTGGACAATCCCAGTATGGACTCCTACAGATGAGGCTTAAATGGTACAACTGGATAAGAGCTGGTGGAAATGGTTAATGCTGATTAGAAATGAAGAGATCTGGCAGTAGCTTTGCAGCGCTTGCAGGAATAATGCTATAGCCTCATTGAGGGTGAAGGGAACAGTGATGAGACAATATCGCCGTTTTAATAGTC